CCTCCTCCTCCTCCTCCGCCTCCTCGTCTTCCTCCATCTCATCCTTTTGCTCATTCACCACCTCCTCCTCCTCTTACAGTGCACCCAGCTTCCCTGGATGATTGCGCATCACACGAAGGGGCCATTTTAGGGATCCAGACCTGCTAGGATGCCCTTGGGCGGTTGGATAATCCCTAAGCGCAATCGGGAGGGACGGGTGGGAGGGGTATGATGCCACATATGGCGCGAGTGCGCCTAGCTTGTCTGTCCCCTCTCGTTCCTCTCCCTCCAGCTCCTTTTGTCACCCCATGTCCTCGTGCCTCTTGCTTCCGCTCTCATGTTTCTTTTCTGGTCGCTCTGCAAGCGTACATCCGCGCTGGTGGGAAATAGTATGTGGACAATTGGTGTCTCTTGTGCCAGTGCGGGCTTTCCAAGCTGGGCCAGTCGGAGATGATGGGGTCGGATGATAGCGCCGTCTCGCCAGTGCATCGGCGGTCTGGTGTGATTTGGAGCCCGATCTTCTTCATGCCGACGTCGCCAACCCATCGCCGATGTATCGGCGATGCGGTGCGATCCTCTGTCCTCTCGTGCTCTGGCCTATTTTCGGCGGCCTCCGTGTATATAGCTCACAGGAGCAGGAGGAGCAGGAGCAGAAACAGGACCAGGACCAAGACCAGGAGCAGGAGGATCAGGAGGCCGGGAAGGGCCAGAGGCATCATGGTGACGCGATGGGCTGGCCGCGTGGAGGGCCCATTGACTTTGGAAGCGTCGGAGGCTGGCCTGAGACATACGTCTCCCTCCTCCTTGTTTCCCTCTATCCGGTGAGCCAGGGGACGCAGGTACAGCGACGACGTCTTCTCCAGGAGGGTCGATACACGTACTGTCCTTTTCCTTGGTGTTCCGCCGTGCACGTCTCTCCCCGCATGGGCACGTTTCAAGCTGCTCGAAAGCGAGACGAGGATTCTGATGATGATGATGCTGCTGATGATGATGCTGATGACGATGCTGATGATGATGCTGATGATGCTGCTGCTGATGATGATCATGATGATGTTGTTGTTGATGATGTTGTTGTTGTTGATGATGCTGCTGCTGCTGATGATGATGATGATGATGGTGGTGTTCATGCTAATGTTTGTGCACTCATGCTAGTGTTTGTGCTGATGGTGATGATGAAGATGAGGATGATGCTGCTGCTGCTGATGCTGTTACTGATGGTGATGATGATGTTGATGGTGATGACGATGATGATGGTGAAGACGATGGTGATGACGACGATGCTGCTGCTGCTGATGATGATGATGCTGATGATAATGACGGTGGTGGTGGTGGTGGTGGTGATGATGATGTGGAGGAAGGAGGAGGAAGAGGAAGAGGAGGAGGAGAAGGAGGAGGATGATGAGGAGGATGAGGAGGAAGACGTGTAGGGAGGGACGAGGGAGGAGGACGAGAAGCTGGGAGCTGGGCAGTGGCTCCCGCGCTCCCCCCTCCCGCAAGTCCCATGTGGGCCTCCGGAGGAGGCCGCTAGGCGCTGCCCCAACGGGGGCCCAGACGCTCCCACACCCCGCCTCTCCCCCGGCGCTGCCCTGGCAGGCGCTGTGCATCAACCCGACGGGCCAGCTGCTTGCGACAGCCTCCAGCAAGGACCCGCTGTGGGGGGGGTGGCCCCAGGTACTGGGGCGAGGCAGGGCAGCGGGCAAGTACCGTCATGTCCCGAGCGGGAGGGGGAGAGGCGGAGGATGAGGGA